CTGGGGCCTCCCTGGGGCCTCCTTGGGCCTCCTGGGGCCTCCCAAAAGCTTTCTGGGGGTCCCTGGAGCCTCCTGGGGCCTCCCTGCGGTTTCCTTCCTGTAGCCTTCATGTGGCCTCCTGGGGCCTCTTGCCTAGGGCCTCCTGGTGCCTCCTGGGGCCTTCTGGAGCCTCTTGGGGCCTCCTGGGGCTTCCCTGTGGCCTCCTGGAGCTTCCCTGGAGCTTCCCTGGGGCCTCCTGAAGCCTCCTGAAGCCTCCTGGAGCCTCTTGGGGCCTCCTGGGCTTCCCTGGGACCTCCGGGACCTCCGCCACCGTGCCTCCTGGCGGGTTGAAGCGTGGAAGAATGCCAAGCGCTGTCTGGCAGGATATCTGCCGTCTACGGAACCCACCCACCCATCACGTCGCGCCCAGTCGCGTGCACCACCCCTACTCCTGGAGGTCCCTGGGCGGCCCTGGCGTTTGCGTGGGGGTCACGAAGGCTGCCAGGATGGCCGAGGAAGGCTATCAAAGCCCTCTGCCCCAAGAGGCCCCCAGCAGGCCACCTTGCCTTCTCGAATAGCTGCCACCCAACATGCTGCGCTGGCACGGTGGCGGAATTGCCGGAAGCAGCTGGATAAAATCACGGCTAGTTTCTATGTGCCAGCGGCCTCGCGGGAGCGTGCGCAGTCTCCGACGGCAGAGAGAGGGTGGGGGAGCGACAGAGAGCGAACGAGAGGAGAGGGAGGGGGAGAGAGAGAGAGAGAGGGCAAGGGGGAGAGGAAAGAGAGAACGAGAGGAGAGGAAGGAGAGAGAGAGAGAGAGAGAACGAGAGGAGGGAGGGGGAGAGAGAGAGAGAGAGAGAGAGAGAGAACGAGAGGAGAGGAGAGGGAGCGAGGGGTGCGCTCGGTCCATATATGACATCCTGGCCATCCAAACCATCCCTTCCCATGGCGCTGCATATTCTCTACCCGCGGACGCGTGTCATAGCAGACCTCGAACCCCCAAAAAGACCCCACCGTGTTAGGAGCAATCGGAAAAAGGGGCTACGTACATAGGAGGAGGGGGACGAGGAGGAGGTGGCGGATGAGCAGGAGGATAAGCAGGAAGGAAGGAGGAGGAGGAGGAGGAGGAGGAGGGAGGAGAAGGAGGAGGACGAGAATGAATAGCAGTAGCGGGAACTGGAGTGGAGAGAGCGGGAGGGGCAGGAGAACCAGGGGAAGGCGGAGGAGGGGAAAGGAGGGGGGCGGCAACAAGAAAGGACTCGGATCCAGAAGAGTGGCCCGCGCTGGGGTGCGAGCGTCATCCTGAACGACGGGAGAAAAGCCACGATCCTAAACTGAGGCCCACGCTGCAGCGGCAGCACCATTTTGAGACACCGAAGCCGTTTCGATTGAAAAAAACATCGGGAAGACCAAAATCCGCTGGCCCCCGCTTGCGGGGGGTGGGAAAGTGTGTGAGATGTCTGGAGATTCCAAATCTGCCTTCCGTGGCCTCAACGACGTTCCAAGACGCTCCCGCATCGCCGAACGATTGGCCCAAGACGCCTACGATGGCTCCAAGACGCCCCAAGACGCCTTCGAGACGCCCCGAGAAAGGCCCAAGAGCCTGCCCAAGAGGGCCTCGACAGGCAATCATCAACGGTGTTCTTTCGGTGTGTATAAGGCTTCAGGTGTTCTCGTCTTCTCGAGCTTCCGACGCTCCAAGACGGCCCAAGAGGCCCCGTAGGCCGCCCCAAAACTGCCCAAGAGGCCCTCGCGCGGCTGCCGATCCCACCAGGAAGCTGGAAGCACACATGGCTTGTGTTTTCTCTCTTTCTCTCTATCTCTCTCCCTCTCTCTCTCTCTCTCTCTCTCTCTCTCTCCCACTACACGTGAAATAGCTCACCCGGTTCAGCTAACAAGGCCTGCGCCTCGAGACTGCACGACACCTTATACGAAGCTGCAACGACAAACTGGCGCGAGAGAGAGAGAGAGAGACTGTGTTCATCGGGTTCTTCCTCAGCCGTCTCTTCCTCCTTCTCCGCCCTCCTTAGCATCATCATAAGCAGCATCAGCATCATCAGTATCCCTCCTCCTCCTCGTCCTCCTCCTCCCTCCTCCTCCCTCCCTTCACCCTCCTCCTCCCCCTCCCTCCCCATCAGCTCCACCACAACCACCACGGCCACCACCACCACAACCACCACCACCACCACCACCACCACCATCATCATCATCATCATCATCATCATCATCATCATCATCAGCATCATCATCATCATCATCATCATCATCAGCATCATCATCATCATCATCATCATCATCATGATCATCATCATGATCATGATCATCATCAGCATCATCAGCATCATCATCATCACCATCATCATCATCAGCAGCATACTCATCATCATCACCATCATCATCATCATCACCAGCATCAGCATCATCATCAGCAGCAGCATCATCACCATCATCATCATCATCATCCTCATCATCATCATCATCATCATCAGCATCATCATCATCATCATCGTCGTCGTCGTCGTCGTCATCATCATCAGCATCATCATCATCATCATCATCATCATCAGCAGCATCGTCCTTCCCACCGACGGCGACGATGGCAACGTCGGCGACGTCGACAGCAGCGGGGACGAGGGCGAGGGCGAAGACGACGACAACGACCACTACGACCATCACGACCACGACCACCACTACCATCACGACCACGACCACGGCCACGACCACGAAAACAACGACGACGACGACGACGACGACGAGGGCCTGGAGCGCCGCCGTGGGGACGGCCGTGGGCTCCGCGCCGAAGGCGAGCAGGAACGGCTCCAGCAGCTCCTCCAGCTGCGGCGCCAGCTTGTTCGCCCCGCCCGCGCCGTGCTCCCCGAAGGCCTCGGCGCGTCGGCGCCGCCGCGGTCGATGCTGCCGCCGCCGCGCTCGTGGAGTGGGCCCCGCCGTCAGCGGGCGTCGGCGCCGAGGGGCGAGCGGCGAGGAGTGACGGGGACGGGGGGGGCGAAGGGCGAGGGGCGAGGGCGAGGGCGAGGGGGGAGGGGAGAGGGGGGAGGAGGGAGGAGTGGAAGGAGGAGGGGCGTCGGCAGCAGGAGGAGCAGAAGCTGGATGAGAAAAAGTAGCAGGAGTAGGAGGAGGAGGAGGAGGAGGAGGAGGAGGAGAATGAGAAGGAGGAGGAGGAGGAGCATATGAGATGCAAAGATGGAGAAGGCGAAGAAGACGAAGATGGAGGAGGAGCATGAGCATGAGCATGAGCATGAGCAGGAGCATGAGCATGAGCATGAGCAAAACTACATGACAACGTCAAGTCTACAATCGCGACCAGCCTCTTTGGGCGTGTGAGCTACACTGGAGTGCTTATGGCACGCTTCTCCGCTGCGCTTAACACCTTGGGCCATTGGCCCTTGGAGATTATCGTGAGATAGTCAACCCTGTGGTGAGCCACTACCTCGAGACAAGGCTTGCTGAGCTCACGTGGCTGCTGGCTGGCGTAGCAGCAGCGACCGCACAATACCACAAACAGATGCCACCATGAAACTGCATCGTATGGGACTAATGCACCCATCCGCTTGCCATGTGAAGCCTGGCCTATGGAGGTTTCTGGAGAGCAGGAGCAGCGGCCCCGCAGCGGAGAGAGAGAGAGAGAGAGAGAGATTGAGGCGGAGGAGGACGCTCTGGGTCCTGTTGTTGACTCCAGCGTGGGCAGCAACTGCAGAAGGCGGAGGGGGAGCAGGAGGAAAGAGTGGGGCTGGAGGTGAAAGGGGGGGACGAGGGAGGAGAGAGGAGAGAGGAAGGACGACGAGCGAGGGACGAAGGGCGATGAACGAGAGGCGGGGGACGACGGAGGAGGGAGGAGTCGGCATGGGATGAGAAGACGTGAGGAGGGAGCCAGGGGGGGGGACCAAAGGAGGCAGGAGGGAGCGGGGCCGCACAGAAGAGGAAGAGAGGATGAGCCTCCTTGACCATGTCCCTAAGGCTCTCAAAGGTATCCTCGTCTACATCGAAGGGGTCAAGCACGGGCTTCAGCGCCTGGGCCGCCTCCTCCCTCCTCCTCGTCCTTCTGCTCCTCCTCCCTCCCTCCCTCCTTCCCTCTCTCCCTCCCCTCCCTCCCTCCCTCCCTCCTCCCTTCCTCACTCCTCCCTTCCTCCCTCCCTCCCTCCCTCCCTCCCTCCCTCCCTCCCTCCCTCCTCCCTCCTCCCTCATCACTCCTCTCTCCTCGGTGACTCCGATGTGGAGGTCGTCTATACAGAAGAAGTGGGGGAGCCTAAAATGCTCGACCTGCCAATCTTATGAAAGGCTTATGTGTGCGGACTTGTAGCAGGTAGGTGGCCCACAAAGTCGGGCCTGGTGCGCTTCTAGGCTGCCATGGGGCGACGTCGGGCGTAGGCGTAACCCACAGTAGCACTGGAAAGCTTGAGCCACGTGAGCTGCAGCGGTGGCGATGTACGAATTAGCAGCCTAGCGCATACTTAGATCGGGGAGACGTAAGACTCGGGCACGGGGCATTCGGGTTGGCCTGACGGAGCCATCATGAAGATGACGAGACCCAATCTGAAATTTGACGCGCGCTCCCGCTGCAAAGCATCCCACGAAAACCGGACTGTCAAAATCCAGGACGCGCTCGTCAAAAAAATTCGGCAAACCCGAGTTCCGGCTTACTCGAGTCTTACGCTTCCCCGATTAGAGTGGGGAACCCCCTACGATGCCGGACAGGTCGGCGCAGGGATGCCGAATGCCCTTACCCATAGAGCAGGCGGAGAAACACTCCCTGGCCTGCTGGCCTTTGCACCCCACAGGCATTCTAATTATTTGCCAAGCTTGTGGCAAGTACTCGGAAGGTGCGCGTGCTGTCAATCTGGAGGAGAGGTGCCTGCCAGCTAAAGGCACCCGCCGCGCGGTAACCAACTGAATAGGGCTCGCAAGGGGCAGTCCCCGAATTTCCGGCGCCGCAACGGGATAAGTCTGGGCGGTTTGTTGTTACATGTGACGCCCTTCAGCACGTTGCTCGCGCTCCGAGGGGAGGTGGACTATGCGGCGAGCCAGGTCCCCTCTTCCGCCGCCTCTTCCTCCGCCGCCCCCCACTTGCCCCAGGCCACCGACGGGGTTAGGTAGAGCGGCCCCGGTGCTCCGACTTTGCGAGAATTCAAACTCGTTGCGCAGGGTTTCACCAACCGTTCAGCTTCATCCGCTGCTTCACCCCACACTCCTTCTCCAGCATTTTTCGCGGGCTGCCGCTAACGCAGTGCCCTCTTCCACACACACACACACACACACCCTCCTCTCCAACAGCAGGCCAGTCCAACCCTTTCTCCCAGGACGGACGCCCTCCACCGCGATCCTGCGGGCACCCTGTTTGAAGCGTGATAACCTGCGCTGCACCCCGTGTGCGGCGGGGTAGGGCGACTGCCTGCCGACGGGGCAGGAGAAGGTTAGCCTGACGGCAGCCACTCTTGCCACCCCCACCTCCGCTCGCACAGGTTCTGCGCGCTTCGGGAAATACCACAATCACGGAATTACGCAATGACACCGGAGAATATCCCCAACATGAATATGTTTCTGGCTATAGGGCTATGGGGCTATAGGGCTTTAGGACCATAGGCCTATACGTCTATATGGGCTACAGGGCGATAGGTCTACAGGCATGTATAACTATAGGGCTATAGGGTTATAGGGCTATAGGGCTATAGGGGTATACGGCTATAAGGCCATAAGGCTATAGGGCTATAGGGCTATAAGGGCTATGGGGCTATAGGGCTATAGGGCTAAAGGGCTAAAGGACGATTGGGCTATAGGGCTACAAAGCCACAAGGCTATATGATTATAATGCTATTGGGCTATAGAGCTATAAGGCTATTGGTCTGTAGGGCTATAGGGCTATCAGGCTATCAGGGCTATAGGGCTATAGGGCTATTGGGCTATAGAGCTATAAGGCTATTAGGTCTATAGGGCTATAGGGCTATAGGGCTATAGGCCTATAGGGCTATGGGGCTATAAGGCTATCAAAGCTATAGGGCTATACGGCTATAGGGCTACAGGGCTCTAGGGCTATAGGGCGATAAGGCCATAACGCTATAAGGCTATAGGGATATAGGGCGATAGGGCTACCGGGCACCGGGGCACCCCGGGCAAGTGGGCACTTGGGCACCCGGGCATGCCGCCGAAATCGGCGCCAAACCTCACCCAACCATATGAATCCGCCAGGACCCCTACAAAGGCAAGCTCTGATTGGGGAATTACGGTCCAGATCGTCATCGTTCCTCGTGCTTCGTAGTCGCTTGGCGGCACTGCGCCTGCTGGGTATCAGCGGGGGGCACCAGAGGGCAGAATGCGATGCCCGGTTGGGGGGCGACCCCGGGGAAGCTGCATCTTCGGGCCAGACAGGGAGGTCTGTTGATTGTCCATGGTGGGGGGCCTTCGGGTAGAGCCACCACTAGGAGCACAGACATGCCGACTGCGGCAACGTTGTCTTCGCCGTTCCATAGCTCGTCTGGCTCAATCCACGCACCTGCCCGCGCAGGGCCCACCTCGACCGCACGGGCACCCAGCTCCACCTCCACCTCCTATCTGCTGCTGCTTCCTGCAACTCTTACCCCTCCGCCCTCCCGCAACCCCATCCGTGCATTCCTCGTCCTCCTGCTCCGCCTCCGCCTCTTCCTCCACCTCCTCCAAATCCTCTCCCTCACTTCCTTTCCTGCCTCCGCCGCCGATGGCTGGCCGCATCGCCGACAAGGCGAGGACATGCGTGGACTGCCAACGCTCCCGGGCCCGGAGACTATTCTGGACAACCGGCGGGACGCGCACTCGTTGCTGCCGCACCTGCGCTCGGAAGCGCCCTCTCAAAGCGCAGCGGGCCCTTGCGGGACGCCCGCGCCGAACGTGCTCGCAGACGGCGAAGTGCGGGTGGTACTGCACTTCAGTGTACAATGGCGCGCTGCCAAAGAGGATGCAGCAAAACATAGCACGTGGTAAAAACGACCTCTTGGACGCCGGCGGCGTCCCACCGCGCCCGTGGGGGCGCGGCCCCGTGGGGTGACGGTGCGCGGCTACGGTCTACGCGTCCGGCCCGAAGCACCTTACCCCAGCTGTTGCCGCGCCCCGCTGCTCTCAGGAGGCTGCCTTCCGTAAGGCTGTGCACCATATAGAGGAACAAAAAGTGGCACAAACATGAAAGCTCGGAGGTCCGCGCGGATTTCTCGGATCGGCGCTGGGGCCCCCCGGCGGCGCCTCCGGCGCCGCCCCTGGCGCGCTCCGCGCGCCAGGGAAGGGGGTCCAGCGCCGATCCGAGAAGCCCGCGCGGACCTCCGAGTTCTTATGTTTATATCACTTCTTGTTCCCCTAATCTAGTCGGACTTGGCCCCGGTTCCGGGTGCTAGGGGCGGCCCTTCTGGGTGCTAGCCTGCCCACGTGGACGCACCAGCTCCGAGATCCCCCACAGAAGGGACGGCCGCATGTACAAAGTCCGGATGGACCTTACGAAGGACGCGCACGGCAAACACCCGTACCTGGTAATGCCATGATCAAACCGATTGCGGCCGCCAGGGTTATGAACCCCAAAGGCTATGAAGCAGAGTCATCGGCGACAAGAAAATATTGGCAGCGCGCGTCTGCTGAGGCGATTCGCTCTCCCTGGCCTCCGGACTTGGGTTCGTCTTGAAGATGGCCCTGCTGCGCTCGGCCGCAAAGCTCGGCCATCGCAGAGAAACCATTTGCCCTGGACCCTCCGGCGCAAGGCAGACAAGCAAGCAGCGTGGGCGCCAGAGCACCGCGTTTGGACCGCTGCGCCACAGTGTTCCTGCTAGAAGGCAGATGCCGAGGCCCACCCCGATCTAATGAATATGTCGTCTACTCTCGTTATATCGACCATTCTATATAAAAGGGTGTGTATATATATATATATATACAAAAACATACGCATTCTCCGCATTATGCGAAGGATTCGGGTGGTCCTCCCTGTGCCCCCTTGGGTGCGCCAGGCGGCGAGTCCGGGCGGCCGCGCCGTTGCGGGGCCGTGTCATGGCACCGTGCCAGAGGCAACCGTGGGAAAAACGACCCCTTCTCTGAGGATGGAGGGTGAAGGCGGGTAAGGGGGGGGAGGATGATGGGGCCGTGGGTGACTCGAGGCCCCTCTCTGCGTCTACACGGGCGCCCCGGCCCGAGCGCGCCCAATGCACAATGCATGGCGGCGCTAGCCCCCCAAAGAATGGGGATGCCGATGGGGGGAAGGGGAGCTAGGGGGAGGAGGCAGAGGAGGAGGAGGAGGAGGAGGAGGAGGAGGAGGAGGAGGAGGAGGAGGAGGAGTGCACGTACTCAAAGAGGAAGAGACGAGGGCAAGCGGGCAAGACGCGAGACGAGGGCAAGATGTCCGCACGCGTCCGACCGCAGGCGCCGATCTGCTTCCAGAACAATGCTTCGATGGAGCCGCAATATGCCTGTAGACGATGCAGTGCTGCCACACGCGCAGAGGCGATTGCAGCGGCATGGATGGGCGAGCCGCCATCGGCTCGCCACTTCAGAATATGAAACAGCTGCGTGGCCAGCGCCACCGCGCGTACACATACAACGCGCGGCCGCTCACGGTGCTCGCTCAGGTGGCCTAACCCGAGGAACGTGGCGCCGCTGCCCAGCTCACTCGCCACCGCGGGCGCTGCGACCGCGCCGCGGAGCACCGGGCACACCATGTAGTGCGAAAGGTCGTCCCGCGCCTCGCAGCCCATGATGCAGGGGCGGGGCGCTATGACGTGCATCCTGCCCGACGTGATCCAGCCGTTGGTGACGGTGCGCAGCCACGACCACATCCAGGCGGGGCGAGCTGCGCGCAGCTCGGCGCGGAGCTCCAGCCAACGGTCGCGCAGCTCCTCGGCGGGCATCTCCAGGCCCCAGCGCCGCAGACGGCGGCCGATCAGCTGGTCGAGGCGTTCCTCGTAGAGGCCGTCGCGGATGGTGCGCATCGCCACGGCCTGGCGCTTGACCTTCCTGGGGGGGACCGCCTGGGCAGCAGCCTGCCCCTCGTCGCCCATGGCGCGGCGAGC